ATATAACAGATAAGATGTTGGTGTGTGTGGTAGTCTTACACCTGTAGAACCTTCTATGATGTCTGATATGTCTGACCAGAATGTGGTCAGTCTCGGGCATGCCCACCAGATATGTGTCATGGTGCCTGGCGCTGCACCGCATCTCCAGCAGGTATCAGATTTTGTACGGTCCATCTTGTGTATTCTAGAGGGCACCATGTACCAACGATATAGTATTTTCCTGCTGATTTCGATGTGTGCTGTGTTTAGTGTAAGTGTTTTGTGTGCTCTCTGTGTTTGTGACCATTCCTCAGGTGTTAGTATTTTGGTCAATTTCTTTTTCCCATGTTTTTATAAATGTAAGTTTTTCTGTGTGGTCGCTTTGTCCGATCAAGCCATATAGGGTGGACAGTAGTTGTTGTGGTGGTTTCTTTGCCATACATAGCAGTTCTATCTCTGTGAGCGTATTTCCCTGAGTCTGTTTGTTGTCGTGATATTTGTTTATCCACGACTTAATTTGCAGATATGAGAAGAAGGCTGTGGATGGGAGATTGTATTTACTTTTTAGTGTGTTGTAATCTATCATTTGTCCATTTTCCAATACCTGTGACAAGCGGGACACTCCGTGGGAGCTCCATGTTTTATAGTCGAATCCTCGGATTAGGACCGTTAGCACCTGGAGTTGGAAAGCTTTGGAAATTAGTGTTTTGGGATGGTGTTTTTTGACTAAGTTGTCCCACACTTTGAGTATTGTTGCTGTGGTTGGACATATGTTTTTGTAGTGATGTCTTTTGTCTGCTGGTATCCAGGCTAAAGTGGGTAGTGATATACCACTTCTATTTGGTTCCACACCAGTGGTTGTTTGTGGTGGTGCATATGTATTAGTGTGCTTATCGCAGCTGCTTCGTAATATCTTGAGATGTTCGGCACCCCCATTCCTCCATTCTTGAATGGCTTATATAAAATCTCTGCTGCTATTCTGGCCTTTCTCCCACCCCATATAAACCTATTAAGGGATCTTTAAGGAATTGTTTTGGAAGAGCAATTTGCAAGGTCCTAAAAAGGTATTGCAGGCGTGGCAGCACCATCATTTTTGTCTCTGCAATTCTGCCTATCCATGACACATATTTCCCTTTCCAGCTCTGCAATTGGGTTTCTATCTCCTGGAGGAGTTTCACATAATTGGCTTGGTACACTTTGTGTGTGTTTGGTGTGAGTGCTATTCCTAAAAAGGTAAGGGGGTCCTGTCTCCAATCATATGTGTAGTTGCTTTGCAGATTTTTAAGTGTTGGGTTTTGTATGTTGAAACTCATGGCCTGGGTCTTGGTGATATTAAGTTTATAATATGAGCAGTTGCTGAATCTCTGTACCGATTGTAATGTTGGTAGTGATATTTCAGGTTTGGTCAGGGTAAGCATCACATCATCAGCAAATAATGTAATTTTGTGTGTTGTGTTGCCTATGGTTATCCCATGTATATTGTGGTTTTCCCTGATGTGTTGTGCTAATGGTTCTAGTGCCAGTATGTATAGCAGGGGTGACAGAGAGCAACCCTGCCTGGATCCATTCGATATTTGGAATTGTTTGGAGGCAAAGCCTCCATTGATGACTTTTGCTGTTGGTTTGTCATATAGTGCTGGTACTAGCTCAAGAAAACGTTGATGGAAGTTGTATTTCTTTAGGACTGCTTCTAGGTATCCCCAGTGTAGCCTGTCAAACACTTTTTCTGCATCTAGTGACAAGGCCACACTGGGTTCCCCAATCTGCTGAATTCTATGGATGAGGTTAATTAGTTTTCTGGTCCCATCCGAGCCTTGTCTACTTCTAATGAATCCTACTTGGTCATCTTTTATTAGGGATGGCAAAATGCTCCCCAATCTAATTGCATATATTTTAACTAGTATTTTTAAATCTGTGTTTAATAATGAAATTGGGCGTAGGTTCTGACATTTGTGTGGCGGCTTGCCCGGCTTGGGTAGTGTTGTTATATGAGCTATCAGCATTTCTTGAGGTAAGGTTCCTGTGTGTAGTATATGATTGTATAATTTCTCCAAATGGGGTGATAGTGTGTGCAAGAAGGTTTTATAATACAGGTTTGTGAACCCATCTGGTCCTGCGGATTTCCATTTTTGGAAGCGTCTTTATTGTCTGTTGTATTTCGCTTAGTGTGATGGGTTTTTCTAGTGTTAATTGGTCATCTTGGGTTAGATTAGGCAGTTTTATTTCCGTTAGGAAATCTTCTATGTTAGATGGGAGAGGTTGGTGTGTGATGCTATCAATTTTTAGATTGTAGAGTGTATCATAATAGTCTGCCATCATGTTGTTTATGTCCTGTGGGTTATATATTTTATTCCCCTGTGCGTTTAGGAGGAAGGGTATTTTGGCATTTTGATGTTTCTGCCTGAGGAGATCTGTTGATCTGTTTTTGTAATTGTTGTATATGCTGTTGTTTTGTCTCTGAGGGATCTAAGTAGGTTTATATGCTCTTGATTGGATTTGTGCTTGAGATATGATGCTCTACTTATGATAAGTCCCAGAATAACTGCTTTGTGTGCTTGCCACATAGTAGCAGGTGATATGTCTGGTGTTTTATTTTGATTAAAGTAAGATGTGATTTTTATGTCCAATGTATGGTTGAAGTCTGGGTTATGTAAGAGAGTGTCTTTGAGATGCCAGGGGGTTGTCCCTCTAAAGATGAAATTGTCTTTTATTGTTAGCCATATTGCTGCATGGTCAGACCAGGTTATATCGCCTATATTGCTATGTATTGCATATGGTAGTAGATCTCCTGTTACTAGTATATAGTCGATACAGGAGTATGTATTATGAACTGAGGAGTAGAACGTAAATTAAAGATCATTTGGATGGTGTGTTCTCCATATGTAGTAGAGTCCATACTCTGAAATTAATCGTGTTAATGTTGCTGTTTGTTTGCGTAAGGTTTTGTATCTGGACAATGTGCTTGGTAAGGTTGTGTCTAATTTGGGTTGCAGTATGTGGTTAATGTCTCCACATATGATTGTTGGAGTGTGGTTCGTAGTTGGTAGTTTTGCTATTCCTCTATGTAGAAGGTTCTTTTGATTGTCGTTTGGCCCATTGACACTTACTATAAGATATTGCAAACAATAAAGTGGTGTGCAGCGCAAGATAAATAATGCCCCCAGTGGGATACAGTGAGGATATATATAACCTCTATGAAAAATACCCTAAATATCAGCAGGGTCAGATGGTGGGGAGTGCAAATGTTTGGAGAAATCACTGGCACAGAACATATAAATAGGTAAAACGGAACAAACTCATAGTGTAACACTGTAAGATGGTATAAATGTGAATAAGATATCTGTATGGTTCAACTCACATTTATAAGAGCCTGTTTACAAAAATATTGGCTCAGGTAGGAACACTTGTAAGGAAATCTGGAAAAAATTCCAATTGTATCCAGCTTGCTCCTCAAAATAAGAGGTACAGAGAATGCACACCAAGTAAAAAGCAAATAGTCAAATTTATTACAAGATAAATATAAAATCTTACATGAAAGTAAACCACAAGTAGTATACAGGGGTGCAAATAATTTTAAAAGTATTTTAACCCATAGTGTGATCCCTAAAAGAATAGTGCCGAATAAAGATGTACAGGGAAACGTTTTAAAAGGCTTTTATAATTGTGGTAATAGCAAGGCTTGCAAGTCCAGTAGGATTTTAACTAAAAAAACAGAAAAGTTTCAGTCTAACATAACTAAAAAGGAATACAATGTTAAGGAATATATTACTTGTGATTCCAATAACATTATTTATTTATTTATTTATGTGTATATGCGGCTTACAATATGTAGGGCGCACTACTCGATCATTGAAGGTTATGATTAGTGAGCATTTGAGAAATACACAGAATGGAGTATTAACCCATTCTGTATCTGCACATATCAATCAAAAACATAATGGAGATTTAAGAACCTTGCAATTTATGGGGATCCAAAAAGTTTTAAAACCTTGGAGAGGGGGTGACCATTTGAGGATCCTTAACAAGACAGAAATTAGATGGATCTTTGATCTGGAAACCCTCTCTCCAAAAGGGTTAAATATTGATTTCGACATGTATAACTATATTTAATCAGTATGGGGTATTTTAATGTATATTAATTATATAGATTTTATTTTTATAAAATATATATATATTATAAAAACTCATGTATTGTCTGTCTGTCTGTCTGTCTTCCTTTCCGTTTTGTTTATGTGTGGACTTTGATTGGACTTTTTCTGCTGAGATTGGAAGGCAATACCAACAGCACTTATATACTTGGAACGCATGAGCGTGCTGATTGGTAGAATGTGGAACGCACACAATCCGGAACTACCATACGTGACGCAAAACCAGAAGTGGATGGATGCGTCTACGGCAACTCTGAAAGACCATATGGGATGAAGAGAACACATTGCTGATTGGCTAGTAGGCATAGGGGGCGGGTTCTAAGTAACCGTTTCCCGCGCCATTTGATATATTTAATTGTGTATGAAGCTTGTTTGTATGTTATTGCACCTGAGGAAGACGAGTGATTTCGTACCTACCTGAAAACGGCATTTTTAATACTTTCATGTAAGATTTTATATTTATCTTGTAATAAATTTGACTATTTGCTTTATAATTGGTGTGCCTTCTCTGTACCTCTTATTTTGAGGAGCAAGCTGGATACAATTGGAATTTTCTCCAGATTTCCTTACAAGTGTTCCTACCTGAGCCAGTTTTTTTGTAAACAGGCTCTTATAAATGAGTTGAACCATACAGATATCTTATTCACATTTACACCATCTTACAGTGTTACACTATAAGTTTGTTCCGTTTTACCTATTTATATGTTCTGTGCCAGTGATTTCTCCAAACATTTGGACTCCCCACCATCTGACCCTGCTGATATTTAGGGTATTTTTTGGTACCACCTTCATAGAGGTTATATATATCCTCACTGTTTATGCACTGTATCCCACTGGGGGCATTATTTATCTTGCACTGCACACCATTTTGTTGTTTGCATTCACTTTATGTGTGGGACACTTTTGTGATTATTCCCATTAAGTGTGTTCTAGCTGCCTTTTCTTAGCACCAGAGATTGTACTTTTCGTTTTTAGATATTGCATATTGTTTATTTTGCAATGTAGTATGATGAACCTACCCTGTGTGTCTCTTTTTAGTTGTAGGAGTTCTAATGTTATAGATTTGTGTATGAGTGCAGAAACTCCTCTAGATTTAGATGAATATGTTGAGTGGCAGTGGCGTACATACCGGGGTCGCGGCTGCGACCGGGCTCGGCCCACCAGGGGGCCCAGCCACCCCTGCGACCCGGTATGTACCCACTGAGCCAGCCTCCTCCCCTGGGGGCCCAGGAGCCGGCCACCTCAGGGCCCCCCGAGGCTGGCCCTGCTGTCACCCCACGGCCGGTCCTGCGGGTGCGCGAGGGAGCACTCTCCCCTGAGTGCTTCCTCTTCACCTCCCTCGCGTACTGATACCGGAGCCGGAAGATGACGTCATCTTCCGGCGCCGGCATTCCTACGCGGCGCGCAAGGGAGCTGAAGAGGAAGCACTCAGGGGAGAGTGCTCCCTCGCGCGCCTGCCCGCCCACCAGTTGA